TGATAGCCTTTGGCATGATTTATATCAGTTAGTTGTAGTTTGTGAACAATCCTAAGCCACCTAAACCATGTTTACTCTCACTCGCCAGTGTTTTTGTGTCTTCCAGAACGTGATCACAAATTGGTGTGGATTATGTGAGGCCAGTCTGATGTATGTTCTATGCTACTTAAGTCCTTATCACTTAGTTTGTAAATTGTGATTCATGTAACAATTCAGTGAATATTAGCCAATTAATAAATTAGCATTATTAATTAATACTGTAGGCAGTTGTGGTGAAATGCTATAATAAATCAAAAACTGCTAAATTAAAACCTAAGCTAAAAAAACTTTTTAAATACATAAACCTATTGCGTCTTTGCACTCAGGTCAGGTCCTCGAGAGCTACCACCGTGCATCCTTTCCAACTATCCATGCCCTGCCCACTGCTGCATACCTGCATCATGTGCGTTCAGTCAATCAGAAGTTGGAAGATACCACCTTAGATGAACGTGGAGCGAGGACAAAGTGAATTGGTTGGTTGGAGGATGGACAAGTAAGTGGACAATTATTATGCTTAAATGAACATTAAAACAGCCTTCTCCTAATGAAACTGCTAAGCTGTGAACTTTGTGAAATAAATGTTAATATCTTTATTGACAATTTACTAGTATTACCAAGAGACATTCTCAGAGAATAGTTCTTGGAAATGGACATATTTACTCTCAATCTGATTGGCTGCTAATGAATGATAAAAACTGTCATTAAACAGCAGTTATCAGTTGAAGCCACACCCCCCACCCCACCCCACCCACCGTGCTCGGCAATGCAAATAATGACAACACCACTGATGACCAAACACAGTGACCAGTAAGTGTTTGCAATTCATATGCTTAACACCTGCTCACGCTGTCTCCTCCCAACTTTCATTCCCAGTTTCAAACAGGATCTGAAGCTAAAAGTATACCCTGTCATGTTTAGCTTGTAATTGCCCAACTTGCCGTTGCCCCTTCGTTCTCCCAGACTCCAGCAATTACAGAAATACAATGTGGCTTGGCTTTTCTCACGGGGTGTAGTATGTATATACTAATTTGCCACAAAGTGCTACAGCTGTCAGTGCATTTTCTGCT